AGTGAGATCATGTGATACTTGTCTTCCTCTGACTGGCTTATTTCACTTAGCATAGTACTCTCCAGTTGCATCCATGCTGTCCCAAAAGCTAAGAGATCCTTCTCTTTTACAGCTGCGTAGTACTCCATGGTGTAAATGTGCCACAGCTTTTTTACCCACTCATCTACTGATGGGCACTTGGGCTGTTTCCAGATTTAGCTATTGTAAATTGTACAGCTATGAGCATAAGGGTGCATAAATTCTTTCTGATTGGTGTTTCGGGTTTCATAGGATATAGCCCTAGGAGTGGGATCACTGGGTCAAATGGCAGTTCCATATTTAATTTTTTAAGGAAACGCCACACTGTTTTCCATAGTGGCTGCACCAGTCTGCATTCCCACCAGCGGTGTACTAGGGTCCCCTTTTCTCCACACCCTTGCCAGCACTTGTTGTTTGTGGACTTGTTGATTGTAGCCATTCTAACAGGTGTGAGGTGATAACAAGAATAATTTTATAGAAAAATACAGATTACCAAAAATAACTCAAGAAAAAAATGTTTAGACGCCTAAGTAGAACTCTAACATTAAAAAAATCAAATCATTCATCATGACCTCCCCACAAGAAAGCACTGGGCCATAACAAGCCCAAAGAAATAAATATACATTTATACAAAATATTTGATAGTTACACAATTCATTTTATCAAGCCAGAATAACCTTAATATCAAAATCAGACAATGACAGAAAAAGAGAAAAAATTATAGGCTTATTTATTTAATATATATGTTGAGTTATTCATCTATGTACACTAATTATTATATCACATGAATTAATTCAGTAAACAAATATTCTGCCCAAATTATGTAGGATAGATCAGTAAACAAAAATAAATGTCTGCTCTCACTGAATTTATATTTTTTTCAGGGAGATAAGCAAAAAACAAACAAATATATAATGTCAGCTGATGATAAGAGCTACGGAGAAAAGNTATATTTTCTTCAGGGAGATAAGCAAAAAACAAACAAATATATAATGTCAGCTGATGATAAGAGCTACGGAGAAAAGAACAGAGTAAGGGAACACAGTGATTAATGGGGAAAGGCTGTCCCTTTGGCAAGATGGCAGTGAAAGCTTTTATGTATAACAGTGGTTTTTTAGTACTTACACACTTATATCCAATAATCCCAAAGAAAATCCTGACAAGTTGAATTCAATATGACCTGGTGTTTTATTTGTTTGTTTGTTTTGTTTTTACATATAGCACATAATAGGGCTTGTCCCAGGAATGCCAGGATACCTTAACATTTAGAACATTTAAAAAATAATTTATGAAATTGAGATACTGAAGGACAAAGATATATTTATCTCAGCAGATGCAGGAGAAACATTTGATTAAATTCAATCATGATTCATGATTAAAACTGTTAGCAAACTATGAATAGAGAAGTTTCCTTAATATAATAAGTATTAGCTAATAAAATACAGCAAACAATGTCAAAATATCAAAAATATCAGAAACAACATGGACCACCTCTTTTATAATTAGCACTGTACTGAAAATGCTTACTAATAAAATAAGACAAGAAGAAATGAATGTAAAGAAATAAAATTGGTGTCATTTGTAGATGAGATAAACCTACATTCAAAATCTAAACCAGTTGCACCTTACCAAATACCAAGCTTATATACTACAGTAACAAAAATAGCATGATGTTGGTGTAGGGATGGCCAAATAGACAAGTGGAAATAGAACAGAAAATATGGAATTGTGCATAAACTGATGTGGAAATTTGATATAACAAGAGAACTGCCCTTACAAATTCTGGAAATGGTTGGACTGGAGTAAAAAGAATATAAAATTAGTACTGAGGAAAAATGGAACTGAAAAGTTGATGACAACTTATATAGGGGAGAAATAAAATTGTATTTCCTTCTTCATACTTTATATAAAAAACATGTCAGATTGAAGACCTTTATGTAAATCCTAAGTATTTAAAATTTTGAGAAGAAATTTTAGGAAAATGTCATTATGAGATCAGAGTGGGAAATATTTCATAAGGAAGACTCAAGAAGCAAAGTATAAAAATAATGAAAAGTATGTCTATCTTAAAATTTTACATTTCTGAACCAATAAGGACACCATCAGCAAACTTTAAATCAAGCCAAAGGTGAGAGCAGGCTGTGGGACAGGAGTAGTGATATGTAAGGCTGGCTACTAGTCAGAGGAAAGCCCAGCTCAAGTTGGTCTTTTAAAGACACAAAACAATTTTACGATGCA